TTGTTAGGTGTTTGCCATAATTTTCTTACCATATTTGATTTTCCTATTTGTTGAAGGAAAAGGGCAATATAATTACCTTAACTGGGTTTTCCTTCTTGTAGAAGGAAATTACAAATCTCCCATATTTGGCTAGTTCTTTTTCTTGTAGGAAAATGTTTGGAGTTCTATAAATTAAAGATCCGTCCTTCTCATTCAGTAGCATCCACAATGTAGCCATAGGGGGCTTGAGAGTCGTGTCTAGGGGGAGAACTTTACGGGACAAGTGTTAGTGTGTCACTTGTGTTTGCCTCTTCGTGAAGTTGTTCTCTCGATATTTTATACTCTCTTTTATTATAGTGGATTGCTCATCTCCGTTGTGGACGTAGGTCAGTTGACCGAACCACGTTAAATATTTGTGTCTCTTTTGGTAGATTTCTTTTGTTGTATGATTTATCGTCGTTCAAGGTTTGCTTTGCTAGCTTCCGCATGACACCTGATTTTTCGGTCCTAACATTTTTATTATAGCAAATGTAAATTATAATTTTTCTCTTATATTTTTGGATTTAGTTAACCATTATTCTATATATATATATATATATATATATATATATATATATTTTACTCTAACTATAACTAAATGCTCCTTTCTATTATGTGTTCAGTATTCTTCTATACTTGTTATGAAAATTGTATAAACACTTAGAAGATTGTCTTAGGTAGTTTGACTGAAATTGGCTAATGTGATTGGGCTCAGGCATAGCGCGGGCTGACCCACCTAGTGTATTTTATATTTACTGTAGTACGTACTGCGTAAGTTATAAATTAAATAAAGATAACTATACACGTTGGATAATTATAATTAATAAATGCTCAGATCTGAAAATGATATCTTGATAATCATACATATATCTAGACTTAATAACTTTAATTTAAAAAGAGGAAACAGACTGGCCTCATGAATAAAGTAAGAATTGAGCATGTGAAAGGAACATTGTTAGCAGATTGGCAGTTAAGAAAGCCACCAATTCGTTTCCATGCAACTGACAGTTCTCGTTAACGTAGAGATTCAGAGATCCAATTACATCTATGAAAAAACGCATTTTTTAGGTTGTGATAGGATAGATATGATCGCTTCATCTTTTATTAGATGTCTTGGTTTCGAGTATTAAAAATAAAAAAAGATATCTAGTAGAGAGTATTTTCTCCTTTAATAGTATATTTTACGCGACATAAATTTGAATTAGCCAGAACCCGGATGAGAGTTCCGGATACAAGAAAAAATTATTTTCTGCTGTCCTAAGTCGGTAATGCATCAAATCAGCTTCCACCAAGTGTACAAGGAATCTCATACTACAAGGAAGGACAACTTTGAAGTATAGAATTTGAAAGCTAATTTGAAGGAGTGAGAGATTGTGACAGAAGAAAATAGTATACTGTATATATTTGTATCTATGTGAATCTTTACGCAAATAGTAGATTATATTTATTGTTTATGTTTTATAGACATATATATAGATTATACATTAATTTATACGATTGTATACATAAATACATGAATTATGCGTATATTATACATCTATCGGTTACTTTTAGTTAAGCGGTTAGGTGGGCGACTATTTGAGTTAATTCTTCCGTTATGTATATATATGTGTGCATGTTATCAACTTATAATGTGCATGCTGAGAGATATTTAGATAGAAAGAAAGAGGGAGGTGCCTGAGTTGTGAGCTTGAGAACAAAGATTGTTAAAGCTTTCATTTAATGTGAAAAAACAATTTTAAAATTAAAAGTAGCTAAAGGCAGGTTGGAACCCTTGTTATTTGCTTTTTGGACTTCTTCTATATCTTTTTGTCCTCTTATCATAAAACCTCATAAACCAATCCCTTAACTTCTCATCCTTCTCTATATTTCCACCTTCAGAAGCCCTAACCCTTCTCTCTCTCTCTCTCAGGTCTATTATATTGTACTTTCTTTCTTGGTTAGATGGTGTTATTTTGATCACTTACATTAATTCAGAGACGAACTCAGGATTTAAAGTCGGTGGTATATATATAGGTCGTGGCTGGTCATTCTTGTTTTTTTCCCTCCTTTTCTGGGTGAAAGATTAGCCAAGTGATCAATTTTTGAGCTATATAAAGTTGAAAAGGAAATGGTTTCATTGCCTCCTGGTTTCAGGTTTCATCCCACAGACGAAGAACTTGTTGCTTACTATTTGAAAAGAAAGATCAATGGTCGCAAAATTGAACTTGACATCATTCCTGAAGTTGATCTTTACAAATGTGAGCCTTGGGATTTACCAGGTATATATTACATCTTTATTTCCCACTTCTTTTTTTTTGTTGTTGGAGAATTAACTCAAGTAGCTGCACTTTCAATCGTTTAAACTAATAATATCCGCCAGATGTATAATATATGTATAGATCATGTATAATATGTGTATAATCGTGTGGTGGCAGAGTAAAAAAAATTATTAAAGGGTGTCAAAATATAAAAAGTAGATAAACGAATAAAAATAATACGGGGAATCAATATATAATATCTATACATTAAAATAAAATTTTGACCTAGCTAAACAGTGAATCCGATGAAGAGGTGTTAATTGACACCCCTTAGTATAAGGTGGCTCTGCCACTGTAACCGTGTATAACTAATGTATAATCTCATATATACTGCTGAAAAATATAGACAGTAAATTGGATCGACTATTTACGTAAAGATCTCTTTCACCTCTTTGATTTTTTGTTTTTTTAATAGAAACAGTATGTCGATTCGCACTTACATCTGGTCATGTATAATTCAAGATGCACAAAAGATTATAAAGGAAACCGTGTGGAAGCATGTGGAATACTTATTAGGTTTCTAAATTATCACTATAACTAGGCTTTAGGAATGCATTTTTTTTTATTTTTTTTAAAGATGAACTGTGTCATTAAAGTTGAAAGCTAAGAGAAACAAAACACTGATTAACCAGAAAGATTAATTTGAAAGTGATTTCCAAGAAAGGTATAACAAAGACATTACTCCCTCCGGTCCAAAATAAGTGATTTTTTGGATGTTTTCACACAGATTAAGAAATCCACCTTTTAGCATTAATTAGCAATGGAATTGACCATATTAACCTTTACTATCTCGCATAAACACTCCTAACACATATTCCAACACTATTTACTCCAAGGACAATGTAGGAAAAAAATAATTAATTCATTCTTGAAATCTGAAAAAATCACTTATTTTGGACCACAAGAAAAAGGCCAAAAAATCACTTATTTTGGACCGGGGGAGTACTATTTACTATTCCATTCACTTTGACATTAGTATTAACGTCACTATCTCTTTATAAGGTCATATGTTGTGACATCCACGTATTTATTTACGAACTTGCATTTAGTTCGTACACCCTCCGTTTCAATTTATGTGGTAATATTTTCTTTTAAGTTTGTACCAAAATGAATTATAACTCTTTATATTTGAAAATAATTTATTTAAATATCTCATTTTACCCTTAATGAGAAAATTTTTATATAACCTACAAATATTATGAAATCTTTAAGACCACAAGTTTCAAGATTTTTACAATCAAACAAATATTATGATATATTTATGATCACAAGTTTCAAAAGTCTTCCTTTTTTCCCTTAAATTGTATGCATATTCAAACTTAGCCGCACAAATTGAAACTTGAGGATTAATATAGCTTGACAAAAGGAAATGATGAAAAAAAAGGGAAATGATGAAAATAAGGAGAAATTGGAGGTAATTATCTTCTAAAGCTACTCTAGAAGATTCTTGATTAATACGTGAAAATGAAAAGCATTCGTAAAATATATCTGATTTAGTGCAATTTCTTAGAGTTACGTTACATACGCGTACTGACTAAAATATTCGAATTATTGATACTTTGAACACACTTTTGCAGTCAAAAGACATATGCTTTAGTACAAAAAATATCTTATATATGATCTCATGTTGGCCCCTACATCTTTTGATCTCCTATTTGAAGCTTAAAGATGTGTACTTACTGATTTAGTGACATGTCGAACCCAAAAGACAAGGGAAAAAAGAAAGAAAAAAGAAAATACATGATTGCTTAATTCAACATATTGTGAATGAAGCTTTATCAAAACAATTTATAATAACCCCTTTTTTTTTAGCACATTGGTAAGTTCATTTAATGATTACAATGGTTCCAATCTCCTTGCCCCATCTGGCCATCTCTTTTCATTCAGATCATGACATGGATTCATACTCCTCAGTTCCATTTTAAATTGTATTCTTTTTTTATTTAAAAAATGAATGATATCTCCCTATATTTAGAAACTTTATGAATCAAAATATCACTACAAAAGAAATTGAAATTACTACGAACTCCGTCGTTGATATGTTGCTAAGTCGCTCATAGCTAACAGAATTTTTTGATAATTTATCGCAAATTAGTCGCTAAACAAGATTAGCAATGAATTTTTTGTTTAGCTACAGAATTTTTCCTTTGTTAATTCTTTTTTTAATAGTGAATGCAAATACTCTTTAAAAGTGAACTGCTTTAATGACATATTTTTATTATAAAAATATTATGGCATGTTGAAGAGCACGTCAAGACGTAAGGATATTTTAGGTATATGCCAAAATCTTTCATTTTTCTTAAATTCTGTATTAGATAATTAAACATCGTCCTATAAAATAAAACGGAGTGAGTATACGTAATTAATTTTGCATAACACCCATGGAGATCTCACTTTACTTTTTTCTTTTTTCCCTAAGATATTATAATCCTCTTATGTTACAGGGAAGTCACTATTGCCTAGTAAAGATCTTGAATGGTATTTCTTCAGTCCCTGTAACCGTAAATATCCGAATGGATCGAGGACTAACCGGGCAACGAAAGCCGGATACTGGAAAGCCACCGGAAAAGATCGGACAGTGAATTCTCAGACGAGGGCTATAGGTATGATCCGAGGGTTATCCATTTTCTCGAGCAGATAATAAGGGGTTAACCTATATTTGACCCGTTTTTGTAGATCAGATATTCACCCATTTTTGGGCGAACAAATATGGAAGGATACTTATAATTTTTATCTATTTTGCCACCTCTAGGTACGAAGAAAACCTTAGTATATTACCGAGGAAGAGCACCTCATGGAGCTAGAACTGATTGGGTTATGCATGAATATCGTTTGGATGAAAAAGAATGTGAAGTTGCTAATGGTTTGCAGGTACGTTAATATATATACATATATATAGCTATAATTAAGAGTTTATATAACTTCTATATATACACGACAATATATAAGAATTTTAACCCTAGCTATGTAACTATAAATAACTATTTAAAATAATAGAGAGTTTAAATTTTTATGGACTGATAATATAAAAGATACTTACACAATTAAGTCACTTACTAGGTAATTACAAGTAAAATTTTGTGATAAGTATAATAAGTAACCTGGAGAAAATGGTTAACTTGCTATGTTAACAACTTGGACACTGTCAGCGTATGTGATGTATCCATAATCAGGATTAGTATCTTGGAAAATAAGGCATGTAATCTACTACAATGTGAATATTCTTTACATTGTCTGGTGAATATAAGTTGAATATTAAAAAGTGAAAACCTTTTAATATAGTAACGAAAAAAGTGTAATAAGCTATAATATGTAGCAGATTAAACTGCACTGATAATATTGAAAGGATATATTACGCTTAAGTTTATATAACTTTTATCATTTATTAATTGTCACTTCCATTTATCTAAAGCTTGGATCATGCATCTTAATAGCAGGATGCTTATGCACTTTGCCGTATATTCAAGAAAAGTCTGAATGCACCAAAAGTGGTTGATCCTTATTCTAGTGATCAATCCTCAAGTATTGATCTTTATTCTGATGGAAAATGTGATGATAATATGGAGAGCTCTAATTATACAAGACCAACCCAAAGCTCTCCATTGCATGTAGCTCCAGCTGGTCCAACTGATGATGACAAATGGATTAAATATTTATCATCAGATGAAGCTTTTAGTTTCAACAGTACTACTAATCCATCAATTCCAAATTATGGAACATTGCCATATGCACCACCCAAGGTAATAAAATGTCAACCAAATTATATAATAGTACAAGCTATTATATAAGCTTCTAGTGGAGCCAGGGCAGACCTACACAAGTGTAGTTACGGGTTCGCCAGATCCCAATAGCTTTAGCTTAGACTTTGTATTTATGTTAATAAATCTACTTAACATGCATTAATAAACCTAGTAAGTTATTCTATCCTAAATTTTTGGATCCATATACTTAAAATTTCGCCTCCGCCTCTGGGTGGAACATCCATTTTTCTTTTAAAAATAGAGATAAAATAAAAGAGACTTTGAGTGGCTTTTGGTTTCTTCTTCACCCTTGTTACTCATCCTTTATAAGTTAAGTTATTGACATTGACAGTTTAAATAACTTTTAAATTATCATTTTAATATCTTATTAATAGTAGATTGTCTACCTTATTTTCTAGCTGATAAATCTACTTGTTATACCAGATTATCTACATGTCGTAATCTTTTTAATGTAATTTATATTGTTAGTATAAAAAATATTATACTATTAATGTTTTGAGTTGTCATGGCATATTACATATCTTTTTCTTTTTGCCGATTATGGATCAATATAATTATGAAAGGTTACGCATGCAATTGTCATTGAAGGACCTGGTTTTGTAAATATTTTTAATTTATACTGCTTAAAGTAATCGTATCTTTTGGATGATCTAATAGCACAAAATTTTTGTTTACATTCTTATGTATATATACGTGCTAAACTCGTTAAACTCACCGTTTATTGTACTTGATCTTCAGGTAAATATAGCATTAGAGTGCGCAAGGTTGCAGCACAGGTTTGTATTACCACCATTGGAGGTTCAAGATTTCCCACAAGCTGACTATGTTAATTATTCCACAATATTGCCTCAATCAAGTTATGATAATATCCATCAAAATACAAATCAAACAGATATAGTCCAAGAAATGTTTTCAGTAGCTCAAGCTTCACACGATCATATAAATCAAGATTCATTGATTGGAAATTATACTCAAACAGCTGATGGTTTTTCCTTTCTTCCTCATCATGATAATCAAATTCATGACTTGGGTTCTTTCAATTTTGATGAAGATATTAAATCTGATAGAATTGTAGAAAACTTGAGATGGATAGGAATGTCGGACATGGATCTTGAGAAGGTACTAATTCTATACTAATTAATTTGTTTTACACTTTATAGAATCCAATATCTAAGCATTAATTTGATTTCCTTTATATTTGAATAGGCATTTCTTGAGGACTACAAGACGGTTACAATAAAAAATGTTTCAGGTGTCCTGAAAGAAGAGTACGAGAATGAAGGTATTATAGTTTTTTCTTTAAAAAACTTTTTTCTTGAATTGTCTTCTGTTTCTTATATGGATTTAAATTTAAGTTATTCACTTTGGCTGTGTAAATCTTTTTACTAAATTTAACATGTGTGGTAGGTTATTTGCTTTATTTTTCAGATTAACAATTCCACCGTGAATAGTAAGTAACATGTGGCCATCTTTTAGGTGATCAGTAAAATTAAAAGTGCAAAAACTAAACATGTTAATTAAGTATACTAGTAGAGAATGGGAATCTGGGAAGAACGGTAAAGTTTGTCTTCGTCTGACCTATAGTTTAGGGGCTCAAGTCTTAGAAATAGCCACTAATGCGTGTATTATGGTAGGCTGTCTACATCACATCTCTTGAGGTGTGGCTCTTCCTCGAACCCTACGTGAATGCGGAATAATTTGTGAACCCTTTTTTTTAAGTTATACTATTACTGGAGTAAAAGAAATTGTATTGTTAGTATATACTATAAACTATCCTTTAATTTATTTTTCTTCTTTTAGAATTTTTGGTTTATTTGTTGATTGATTACAGGAGAAACAAGCGGCCACAACAGCAGCTTCAATGAATTCATCAACAAAACAGAAGACTTCTCATCAGAATTTGGCAATGATTTTGAAGTTTATGAGAAGATTGAAGTCAACCACAGGATGTTTATAGCTACACAACAAGCAGCCAAGACATTCTATCATCAAGTTGTTCCTTCTACAACTCTCACAGTTCATCAAAATCTTGTTAAATCCGACTTAATAAAAATACCTCAAAATACAACTTTTTTTGATTGTATTTTGAGGAAAAAGCTATTGATCATTAGGCCATGGAAGAGAGCAGTAAGCACATTGGTTGGTGTGATTGCACTTTTACATGCTTTTTGGATATATTTCAGCTTATGTTTAGAGAATGAAGGATCTATAGAAGACAATATTGAAGGGAGTGAGAAGAAGAAGATCAAGAAAGGTCAAGATTGTCAATGGATTTGCAAAGCAAAGAAATGGCCTTATTTCACCCTTGTATTAGCTCTTTCTACCATTTGGTTGCACCAGATTGTTCCTTCCTTTTGACCTTTTTTTAAATTCTTTTTTCCCCTTATCATGGGAATTTCTTCTATGGCTAACCATAATTGTTGTTAGGGAAGCCCTAATTACTTAGAGCCCCCTGAATTTGATGCCAAAGGTGTCTTGATATACATATAGTATGCTCTTTGTCACATCTAATCATATTTCATATAGTGAAATATTATTTTGTGATAACTCCTATCAGCATGTTCTTGTCCTCTATTCCTTATCTGATTAAAGTTTCACCAATTAAGATAAGGAAGTTAAGTTTTATGCGTGGACGGTGTAAAAATTATTTACACATATATCACTTAAAGGTAATTGTATGTAATGTTATTTAATAATGTTGTCGGTTAATCTAGAATTAATAAATAGAATAATAAGTAACATGCTATAATAATGTTTACCTCGAAAATACGAGTAACAATTAAATTTGATTTGTGGTTTTAAAGATATGTGATTTAGTTCAATACCAATTAATTATCAAGAAAAATAAAGTAGAAATGAAAGATAGAAATGAATCAAACCAATGTTATTTAGCAACAGTGACCTCGAGACGGTGACATCGAGGTGGCTTAGGGCAGTAAGAACAATTAGGTAGGAAAATCAAAGTAAGAACAATTAAGCTAAGGGACAATTCTGATGAACAGCAGGCAAAAGGTAGAAAGTATATTCTTTGCTTAGTAAAAGATGGTCCTACAAATGATTGGGATCCTCCTTTATATAATGGGGAAACCCTAAATAAGGAATATTTCCATTTACAGTAGGGAATATTCTTGGTACAGATGTCTAACCGCCTAGTACGGAATTGTACAATCCTATTCCGTGATTTGCGCCATGACTTTGGGGACGTGACTGAATCTAGCTCGTTCTGGTACACATCCATGACGGTACTATTTCGGGATAGAACACACCCGACCTCGGTATGCATCGTGATTCGCCTTCGAACTCGGGTCTGGTCCCTCGAGCTCGAACCTGGCCTTACCCGGACTCGGACTTCTGATGACCTCTCAGGTATATATATATATATATATATATATATATATATATATATATATATATATATAAGGAATATTTCCATTTACAGTAGGGAATATTCTTGGTACAGATGTCTAACCGCCTAGTACGGAATTGTACAATCCTATTCCGTGATTTGCGCCATGACTTTGGGGACGTGACTGAATCTAGCTCGTTCTGGTACACATCCATGACGGTACTATTTCGGGATAGAACACACCCGACCTCGGTATGCATCGTGATTCGCCTTCGAACTCGGGTCTGGTCCCTCGAGCTCGAACCTGGCCTTACCCGGACTCGGACTTCTGATGACCTCTCAGGTATATATATATATATATATATATATATATATATATATATCGAAGGCATTCGATCTCGACCGTATACAGATAGTCCCCACATTTCTTAGAGTAAGATGATAAGAAATATTTTTGATCCTCGTTTCCCGAAGTCTTTAGTGATGACATCATTTCTGTGATGCGCGCGTTTGAAGTGACCGAAACGTCCCGTCGGTCCACTTTCCCAAAAAATTGAATGCACGCTAGTATTGGTCAGCCACTAGCGCCGCGAACCGTCGTTGCCCTTCTATAAATATGAGGCGATTCCTCTAAGTAAAGAACTTTACTCTTTCTTTACATCTTCCCCATCTTCATCGCTTTCTCTAATCACCCGTTTTCACCGCCTCTTTAAGTCCCGGAAAATGCCAAGCTCTTGTAGAAAACACCACATCCCCGTGCAACCCGTATTCTTTAGCTTACAGTCATGGCTAAAACTTCCAAAACGGTCCCCAAAAAGGATAAAGCGTCATCTTCTTCTACTTCTCGGCCGACCAAACTGGTGGTGCTGCCAACTCTAGAGGAGATCACCCCCGGCCCTTATGGAATAAAGAAGGACTTCAGTATTGAAAATCCCCCCGACGTCCCAGGCCGATGTGGGCACGCATCTCGATATATTAGCTTGATATCGAAGAAGCTCATCAAGGATGTGAGAAAGGACTGTGGCTGGGGAAATGAGGTCATGATTCAGATCCCGAACCCCGAGGAAAGCATTATTACCCACGTGGAGGGGTTTTTAAGTGTTTACACTTATCCCCTCACACTGGGTCCCCTCGATCTGGTGGTGATCGACTTCTACAAAACATACGAAGTCACCCTCGGTCAGATTCACCCTTCTTTTTGGCGTATCGTGATTATGCTGCGCTTCTTTTCCGAAAAGGCTAAGGGGTTAGAATTCACCCTCAGCCACCTGATTCGATTGTATCGGCCCCATCTATTTCAAGGGCTCATCAAGTTGAAACGTCAAACAACGAAATCCATCTTTGCCAGTACTGACAAGACCAAAGATCGAGGTTGGATGAGCCGGTTCGTCAGAGTAAGAACTTCGGATGTTATCCCCGGGGACAAAATGTCATTCCCGGAGAGATGGAACTTTAATCGTAAGTGGAGTTCCTTTCCTCGGTATCTATTCATGTTCTGCTTCTTCATCTCATAATACCTTTACCCTTCTTTTGGAAGCCACTACCTAGGTGCCCCTCGCAGTGCCGGACCTCGAGGATTGGGTCTGAAAGTTAGCAGCCACCTCTTCCTACGATGAGCGCAAGTGGCGTGAATTAGCGAAGGGCCAGTGGGAGGCCAAGAACCATGGTAAGTGCTTTTCCGAGTTTCAAATACTTTTGATATACTGGTGGTGAAAATTTACTCATGTTTACTTGTGCAGGCCTTGGGGATGCATTTGAGATGAGACTGGCTCCGCCCGGGAAGAAGACCAAGCCTTCGATTCTGAAATCAGAGAAGGACAATAAAAGGAAGAGGGTTTCGAAGCCCGAAGACCCTCAAGATAAGAAAACCCCTACTCGGAGGCTGCAGAAGAGGTTTGCTCAAGCGGGCGCGGATTCGGCCCATTGTTCCTCGGGTGACGAAGAAAATGACGATGAAGAGTCGGCGCTGGTGCCTCGAGCCAGGAAACCCATCGAGGCCGCCAAGCCCTCCGCCCCAGAGACCCATCTTATGGTGAGGGAACTCCGAAAAAAGATGCGGGCAGGGCCCCATGTCCCCAGAGATTGAGATCGTCCCTCCATCTTCAACAACTATATCGGAGGGAGCAAATGCTGACGACC